TAGCTTCTCTCAATTCAGCCACTGCTGCAATAGTCAAAATGCAGTGAAAAAATAATACAATGATACTTTTAAATATTTTTATTTTCTTGAAATAACAAAATTATAACAAACACTACGTTTACAATAACCTAAAATCTGTATACATTTTTTGGGACACCCTGTATATATTTACTACGCTAAGTTTTGGGGTCGTACAGTTTTCCGACCACAGATGTAAGAAGATAACAACACTTAATGCATAAGACGATCCAGTTTTGAAAGAGCCGACGCTACAATCCGGGAGGTGGTTTCGCAGGGCCGACTAAGCGGGCGGCAGCTCGATACACCGAGTTCCGCAACTTATAAGAATGCTGCAGGACTTGATTAACTCACAGCGGTGATAACCACCAGTTTGGGCGCAATAATTGGGCTCGAATAGTCTTCATCTTTACTTAATAGAGAGCATTTTGAACATCAAAAAAGCCGCTAACAGCAGTAGTAAAGTACTTCAGAAGAACTTATAAAATGCTTATGTTGATTTCAGTTACTAATTTGGGGTTCGGTATATGGCAACTCAGACACTTTCCGAGTTCATAGGTTTCATAAGCACTCCGGGCATGCAGGGTCACTTGGGCTGAGTGAATAATCCGCCATTCGAATGCCTTTCACGAGCAGCATTTAAGGGCTGATACTAACTCAACCCCCATATTATGGACGGCCTAACTTCAAACTTGAATTTCATCGTCACAAAACCCCCCGGATCTCTTCCGCGTTCTGGCTCTACAAGAGCCAAAGATCGAACTAGGTACATTCCGCGACTATGCTCGAGTACGCGCTAGGAGTTCCGCTCTCTCTCTCACTCCCCCGAGGACTCTGACTTAGCGATAACTTTCTCGATGGCAACATGCTTCCTCTGTGAGGGTGGGTCTATAATTTTCTTTTGAGACCAACTTACCACTCACCTATTTCCTGCACCCAATATAATCGTTGGTCGTGGACATCTCCCACGCCACACGGGAACTTCAGTGAAAATCGGGGTTACTCTGCGCTTAATGGCAAAGTACAGATACATATGTGGTTTCTAATCTTGCAAGACATATCGCCATTGTGGTGAGGCAGATAACAAGAGGTTCCTCCAAATCACAAGTCAGGGAAAGCTGGACACTGTTTACTCCGAGAAAAGGCTTACAAGGGGCTCAACAGAAGAGACATGCTCACAGGCTTCTCACGGGCCTACAGGCAGTCCATGACAGGTTTTGTTGCCCGCAGCCAACCAAGAAATGGTGACCACTGATTGGTTTTGAGCGAGTGCGACCCGAGGACAGCGTGGGTGGCCCTGCGGTGAATTGGTCAGGAGTATATCAGGTGGATTGTGTCAGGCAAATTGTCACATGCGGCTTTGCAGACGAAGTCACAATGATCAGCACAGTGACGCTGATCACGGACCTCCACAGACAAAGGTCTCGTCCTAAAAGGACAATGCTTTTTGGAGAATCTCGTGCTCAAGTGACTCACAGCACCAGTCACCACCTCGTCTGTTTGCAACTGAAAGTAAACATCACCAAGTTTCTTCACCTCCAAGGCGCTTGGCCATAACGATAGTCTGTCCTTTGTTACATTTCCATTTGAGAAGCCATCCATTATCTTATCCAGAGTGATTAGTTTTTAAATCACCCCATCGTGGAAGTCGCCACCTTCACTGTTTGCACCTACAAGCAAACATCCTCAACTGTATTCACCTTCAGGGTGGTCCGTCAGAAAGATTGGCTGTATTATCTAATCATTCCATTGGGAAGCTATCCATTTTTTTATTCATAGTGAATGAAATTCAAATCGACCCCTCGTATAGTCATATTGAGTAGAGAAATAAGATAGGCAGTGAAGGAGATTTACAGAAGTAAGTGAATAGTGGAAAACATACTTAAATTAGTTTCCCGCGGCTGCTGGGAGTAAGTGGTTCCGCATGTAACTTGAAGGTGAGCGCGGCGCTTTGCGCCGCGGTGTATACTAATCTTACTCTAGAACGGTAAGTTGGACCTCAGTTAAGTTGAAATAGACGACCTCCTTAGCAGCATTTCATTTTTTCAGGAATTTCAAGAATTCTGTATTTTGATAATTGGGTTTTTCCGCAATACCTTAAACGATAATACAGATTCGGAAAGTCTACAGATATAAATCAATAACATTTCTAAATAAAGTAAAACAAAAATGCATAAAGCATGTATCAGAGTATATTCGGACGGTCATAAAGATGGTCTGTCTTATCTAATCATTCCATTGAGTGCCTATCCATTATTTCATCCATAGTGAATGAAATTCAAATCGACCCATCATATAGTCACATTGAATCGGCGTTTATCCAGAAAGGCTAATTTCAGGACACTACAGCTCCCCCCTTCCGGGTGGTCGTGTAGGGAAGAGGAGCTTGCGAGTTGTAAGTCGGAATCGGCCACTCGATCTCACGAACACTTTTTGACAACAGTACCCGTCCCTTCTCATTTTTTAGCGTGCAAACCTCTCTCGCTTCATCCAGGTTAGGATAAAAGCCCGGGAAATGCACAAATACCACCCTGAACTTTTAAAAGTGTGAGGATTGTGGGCTGGCTAACTGTGCTGTAGCAT